CGCACATCGCGCAGCTTTTTGGCACCAGGATGACTTCGAGAAAATAGATGCATCGTGAACTGGGGTCCTGGCTTTGAATAAGTGGAAGAAGGAATGTCTCAATATCCATCATGAGTACCTTGCGCAAACTGTAACAGTGCGCAGTAGGCACCAAGTGGCAAGCACACACAGCAAAGTGAATGCGAGGCATTGCGGGCACCAAGAAGAAATCAAAGATAAACCAGAAGTCTACAAAGCATCTTCCTGAGCTCATCAAATTGATGTGCTCCAAGATCGCTCTTAACTCAGACCTGTGCGCTTGCGCTTGAAGCCTAAAAATCTCAAGAACAGCTCCAGCGTGAAATACCTCAGTACTCTCAGTACCCACAAGATGTCAGGCAACGGGAAATGCATGGGGCCTGAGGCCAAGGCACTGCAAAGAAAAGCTCAGTCACGATAAAGAAAATCGGACCTCAGCAATCCTTCTGAAGGCATGAAAAGTCTCAAAAACAACGATCAAATGTTGCCCATACCGTAAGGAGTAAGGGGTGTGGGTGTGGATTGTGTCTTTGGACAAGCTATCCCGTGCTGATCTGTCCTAGTCCACAGAAACATCCAGTGGCCACCAAACGCTTCAGGTGCGATCCAAATCTGACCCTCTCACAGTTTCAAGCTCTTGCTAGAATATCTTAGCATTCATCGAGAGGAAGCAGCCATAAAACACATAGAGCTGTCGCCATTTTCCGAGGCACAACGTGGCAGGCCCAACACAGCGCTAGTCGACGATCTTTTTTCATGCACCGAGCTCATCTGCCCTCCAAGAAAGCAAAGGGCCGCCTCCATCTGACCGGGCGCTGGTGACCACCTGTTCCCTCCTTACCCCGCACCCCCGCACCCCTGCACACCCTGCACACCCTGTACACCCTGTACCTACGATGAACACGACGAAGGGCACCAACAAGATCGGCTTTAGCGATTGAAGTGCAGCTCCATGAGATTCGCTACCTGCAGCTTGCCCCCCAGCTCAGTGAATTTGTTCTCCACGAAAAGGCGACGCACGGAGCTCCCAGGCGCCGCAAGACCCTCTGCCCCGGCATCCTGGATGAAGTTCTCATCAAGGCCAACTTCCTTGCCCACAAAAAGCCGATCAAACATGAGGCATTTCGGGTTTTTGTGAAACTGTTGGACTTTCCCAGCATTTTGCAAACTTGCGCGTAGCATTTCTTTCTGCCACGGCTCAATGAGTGTCTTGCTCTGCTTCATCAGTTCAGCCACAGCTTGCGCGGCGCCATCCCCCAGACGGCAGTGTCGCAACCCCAGCAGCTCCAGACTGCCACCTCACGCTGAGACCGCGTAACAAGCCCTGAAAGCAAGAGCCCGAAACAAATGACTTCTAAGCGCAAGGCCTTCTATGCTCGAAAGAGCCTCGCACAGCTTCTTCGCACCATCATCACCAAAGTCGTTGTATCCCATGTATAGTTGCCGCAACGCTTTGTTCTTCTGCAGGTGAGAAGCCAGCGATGCACAGTCTTCATCGGATATGTGACGACTCTTCAGGAAGAGAACATCCCTGCTCTCCAGCTCCGTGCTTTCTCCGAGTCTTGAAGGCACATCACTCATTTGGCCAACACTTTGCGCAGTGTGGTGCTGGAGATGCTGCAGTACGGTTTAAGGCTTAAGGATGGCTTCAGGAGTCCCCTCTCCCATGCCGTGACATCTTACTATTGGTTCCACAATATCTGAGGTTGCGACCTTGATAGAGATTCGCGGGTCTGTAAAACCGGGCAGAGTAGTCAGCATCCTTGGTCTACAAAGGAAGGAACAGCCTTCGCTGTAAAAAGCGCATCTGTGCGCATCTGCAGGTTGGCTCAAATAAGGGCAGCTCTATGCCAATGCACAAGGCATTCAATAGGATCACCACCATAGTCACCCTCGGGTAGTCGGAATAAGTCATCAAGCTTACTCAGCCCAGCAGTATTGGATTTACCTAACTTCATTCACTCAAAGACAGCCCTCAGCCTGCGCTTTGCTTGGTTCCTGACCCTTCGAAGTATCTATGGCCGGCAATGCGCCCAAAGATGTGATCAGCATACTTTTTCTGCTCCTCCAGTGGGAGTGTAGCAGTGGCGCCACTGGAATCCAGTAGATTTCGCAGGGTCATGTTAGTCACTAGAGTCCAATGGCTGTCAACGGCCAACGGACTCTGACGGCAACCATTTTCGCCAATCACAAAATGTGTGACAAAGACCGTCAAATATCATGGTCTGGGCGCCAAAGACAGTGTCCTTCCGGAAATATTTGGAAGTCGTGCTGTGCTTCAGGTCACGGACTTCCTGGCCCAAGAAGGCTGTAGCTTTTGCAGTTCTTGGCTTATGATACTTATATAACTTCAGCAGCCGCACTGATTATTCGCTTGCAAATCGTTCAACTCTTTGCCCCCCGGGAAATTCCTGACTGGATGGTGCCAGAAGAGCTGTCACATTTGCTTTTGGACAGCGAAGAACATACTTGTTGAACCCAGCCGAGCGGTTGAGCGCACCTTGAACATGCGAGTTTTGCCCTGGCGCTCCTGGCGTCCGAGCAAAAGCTGCAAAAGCTCTAAATGGCCACGTGGCATGGGGAACCCACATCTGGCGCTTTGCTTTCAGGGAAATCAAAGGGATGCCATCAAGGAAGTGGAAACACCCGATTCCGGCACATGTCAAGTAAAATGTAAACATGATATTATATATATAGTTATATATATATATTATATACATAATATTGTCAAACAAACATGAGGATGCCAAAGTGTTGGGAAAACATCCACATTCACATTACTTGTCAATTGCAAGACTCGAGATCGGTGCGGCACCTGCACGGCTTGCTTCCAAGCTGCCCATTTCCTGGAACATGCTTGAACATGCATTTCACTGACCACAGCTTCAACAAAACCAAACTTGCCCACAGACCTGTTGAAGGCGCCAAATTTGTCTCAAATTAAGTTGCATTTTGAAGCTGACACATGGCGCGTCTATTCCTTGCCTCCCAACCCATGATCGCAGTATCGCCGGACATTGGGTCAGAGGGACTCGGAAGCGCTTGCTGGCAACTGCATTCTGCATTCCATGAGTACTCAGCGGCCGCCAAATGAAGCAAAACTTGCTAATGGAGGCCCTGTTGAAGCCCGTCTGGAAATCCTGCCTACCTGTTGTGCTGCCTCCCAGATTGAGGACACTGAGCATCCGACTTTCAGCAGAAGTCTCTGTGCTTCTCCTGAAGACCCCCCACTCCACACTTCGCATCAACAGCGTCCTGCTTGGAAACCGCAGCGGGGCAAAGGTAAACTGCCCGCTCTGATTCTCCCTCTCCTCCCTCTCCTCCCTCTCCTCCCTCTCCTCCCTCTCCTCCCTTTCCTCCCTCTCCTCCCTCTTCTCCCTCTTCTCCCTCTTCTCCCTGTTCTCCCTCTTCTCTCTCTTCTCCCTGTTCTCTCTCTTCTCTCTCTTCTCTCTTTTCTTCTCTCCTTTCTTCTCTCTTTTCTTCTCTTTTTCTCTTCTCTCTCTCTTCTCTCTCTCTTCTCCCTCTTCTCTCTCTCTCTCTCTCTTTTTCTCCCTCTTCTCCCTCTTCTCCCTCTTCTCCCTCTTCTCCCTCTTCTCTCTCTTTTATCTCTCTTTTATCTCTCTTCTCTCTCTTCTCTCTCGTCTATGGCCTTCGCATCATCTTTCTGGTTGCGAATCTGGCCTGGCTCCAAGCAACGTTGCCTCCAAAATGCGATGCACACATGTTGCATCTCAATAACCGAACCTCCAACCCGGGCATTGCCTTGCTTGATCCACCTCAAACCATGATCGTGGGAATGAGCACAGCATGCTGATTAAACCAAACAATTGCATCATCAAGCGGGGGGAAATCACAACTCAGGTACTCTTCAGGCAATGTCTGCCCCGTGTTTGCCGCAGAATCCTACACCCTCTCTCCGATTGAAGGCTGAGCGAATGGCCTGGTGGATCCTGGCAGGTGCACCGCACCGACACTTGAGTCGCGACGAGTGATTCTAGGGTAACATCCAAATGAGTCGTAATCAAACTCAGAATGAACATGGTCTACCCAGGACCACGTAAAGAATTAAAAGGGCGGCCGCACCCGTTTCTGGCTGGGAATGTCCCTTTCTACCCTCTACTTACCCGGGTTTTGATTGTGACTCAAATGATGTCGTTGGTTCAAAAGCCACAAGCTAGCCACATAGTGCTACAAAATATCTACACTCAGATGTCCCTTGGTGCCCGTGAGTTGCTTTTCGATTGATCTGCTGTTATGAAGCAAACCTTCCCGTGCTGCAGGTGATACTCAAATGCGAAGCCCGGTTGGCGCTTGGAATGTTCTGTATGACCGCACCTCTCTTTCAACTCCGCAAGTGCAAGCAAGCCATGAAGCCCTTGGCAGCAATCCTGCGAGCGCTGCGGCATTCCAAGCGTGGACAATGAACATTGTGTCAATTCTCCTAGCCAATAAAACATGCAAACAAAGTTGCACAGGCACCACCACAGAAAGACTGATACACATTGACATGATCAGGGCACTGCATCCACTAAATGATTGCTACTATCCCGTTCTTTGACTTAACCCAAGCAAAGACTTGAAAGTAGCCCGCCTTGCCGCCTTGCCAGCGCAACAAGAGCACGGGCCCGGCCGGAAAGCTCCCAAAGCTTGAACCTATTCCAGCGATACTGCCTGCTCCCGCCAGTTTTGCTTGTTGTTCCCTAGCCGAGCTCGTCTGCAGATCATGTGGGGCCGCCTTGGTTTGATGACCAAATCGAGATGGACCCGTCTTTAAACCTCAGAACTCTCACTGACAAACGTAATGGCACCATCATGTCTTAGCAAGCATGAATTGGCGCGTGTTGTTTTGTGCAAAGGCCATCCGCTTGGAAAACACGGGTTCTCATTTGATTTGCTGACTGTTCAACAAGCGTCTTGTCTGTAGAAACAACACACTGCGGTCTGGCTAGCCCTGCACCTGTTGTATTCTCTGGCGTGCCGGCCGGCTGAGGCGGCATAGCAATGCGCTCGCCGCCAACCACGGCCTGAAGCTCGGCAGCATCATGCTGCATCCAGAGCAGCAGTCTCATTCACTGTTTGATCAAAAATACCTCCAATCAGTCACGGAATTCAGCAAACAGCCCCAAAAGCTGCAAAACTCTTCCATACGTGTGGCTTGTCACGTTTTGTGATGTTCCCAATGCAATTCTGATCCCGCTGTTTGCAACTCTCTGTTCGCCCAGTATCTGAGTGTTTGCCAAATTCTGCGCTAGGCAGCCAGAGAGATCCTTTATGCCTCGCGCAAGCACAACAAAAGGCTGCCTGCGTACCCACTGGCACTGGCAGCAGTGGGGCCGTCGGAAACTGCAGCGCGGCTGGCAACGCCTTGGGTCAGTGAGCAATTTGGCAAAGAGTGATCGTCAACAGGGATACGTGCGCCAAGACTAACATTGTGCACCAAATATGACTGGATTTCTGCGCGCCGTACCACAGTGAGTCGCTGATAACCTGTGTGCAACTTGGACGATTAAACATGCCTGAGGCCCCAGCCGGCTGGGTCACTGCAGGCAGCATAGGCATGTGTGCCGTCTGCGCCATTTGCGCCATTTGCGCCATGTGCGCCATGTGAGCCGTGTGCCCAGTGAAGAAGGGCTTGGCCTAGCGTTCATGCATGCCCTCTTTGACAAAGCAATCGGTCAACGACCGTGCATAAACGTCCAAGCAGTTGCCAATCTGCTCAGCTGTTCGCTCCCACATCATGTCTTAGCAACAAGAAGTAAAGCAATCCATGGTTGGCCCACGCGGGCTTTCTGAGCAGCTGGCTGGGTTGTGTGTGTGTGTGTGTATGTGCGTTGGCAATCTCGTCTGTGCCTGTTGCATGTGAATTTGTTCGGTCGCATGACTCCACACCTATGGCATCAAGCTAAATGGCACGAGCGCAGTATACCCTTGCATGCATAATATTGAGTCTGCCCGCTGATCCGAGAAGTCACAAAGCAAACTGCAAGCAAAACTCAGTGCCTCCACCAATACCACCAAAAGCTTCAACATGATTCCCAACTGCAGCTGATATCTAAGCCCTGTGTCCGGTGTATTGAGCTGAAGGACCAGCTTTCCATGTATGAACACCCAGGCCAATCAGAGAGATTGCTAATTTGGCTGTTGATACCAAGCCGTGAAGCATAAGGGGGCAGACCTGACCCAAGGATTGCGAATAGCAACAGGACTCATAGGGTGTCAAAACTGCCGTGATCAACCTGTGCATTAAACGGCAAGTTGACAAGTTTGCTTGTCTGTGGCCGGCTGAGGCCTTTTGCACCCGACGCAAGCATGAAATCTGGCTTTGTTCTGCTTGCCGCACGTGAAACTCGGGACCTTTATGCCGTGAAACCTGGCATGGTCGGTTCCTTGCCTACCTAGTCCGCAATCTGGCTGGTGCAATGCAGCTCTCAAGGCCGCCCTCTTGAGAAATCGACAAGCCCGTCTGCTCTCTGTTTGGGCCTCAGCAGAACGCCAACGGGACTTGCAAATCATAGGTCTTCTCTTACCGTGCCCACAGGGAAGCTGCACGAAATGCTTGCTCGAACAGGGACTTACTGCCTGGCTGACGTGATGATGGATCCGGGCATGGATCAATGCACCATCCCAGGCCACGCTTAGTTACAGGCCCACACTCGCAAGTGATGCCACAAAGCACCAGCGGTTGACCAGGCGGGCGCCGCCTCCCGTGTTCCCAGCACACCACGGCGGTTCCACGACGTGTTAGCACCATACTCCAAAACAGGTTGCACATGCCTGACAAAGAAACCCATGATGGATCAATAGAGAATCTGGCTCATTTCAGGCAAGTTAAGAAATGTGTGGATAGGATGGAGCAATCTGCCGTTCTCGCATTACATGTGGGAAACCCTACAGCCAATTGTGGCAGGCACATGCTGACCAAGACCAAGGAGGATGGTTTCGGAGATGATGCTCATCACCAGCACATGGTGCAGGCTCGCATTGTACTCTGGATTGACTCTGGACCAAAGACAAGTGGCAAAGCCCACTTCTCGTGATGCAAGCTTGAGAACAATTGCGTGCGCTTCAGCTGATCTAGCTCGGCACTGCAACATTGTGGCTACTGCAACTGCTGAACCAAGTGGTTGCCGACATTCCGCGCCTGGTGACCTCTAGCAGGATTGGGACCAGCAAGAATAAAGCCACAAGTAAAAGCCTCAATGCAACAATGGCATCAATTTGCTGCATCGCTCGGCCGAGGCTCACATGGCCAGCTGTTTTGTTCACTGTACAGGCTTGAGTTTGCGAGCAATCATTGAAGACCCCAGAAGCGACGTAGCCAGCATGAGTCATATGCCGACATCTGCTCATCTGCACGTTGTTTCACGTCGTAGGTGGTCAAAGAGATCTTCAGATTGACGCTGGTCAAGTCCTGGTCAATTCCCTAGGCAGGCTCAGGGCAGGGGCGAATTCAGCATCCGCAGGTGTGTGTCGCTGGCGTCAAAGGCGGCCAACACGCAGCACTGAGAAGTGCGAAGGCCACAGAGAAGTTGGCCATCAGAGTGCGGATGGGCCAGAGCAACCATGGCGTGCGCTTAAAATGAGACAGGTAGGTGGCGAGTGTGCTGTCAACGATTACTGAAGATCTAATGTCGGAAAAGGCTCTCAAGTTTGACTTCTTCACACAATGGTGTCCTTTGCAACATCGCGTATGCGCGTTGCCCCCAAGCAGAGAAACTCGGCGCCAGCTTGCAACTACTGTTCCGGTAAGCTAGCTTGATCGGCCTCCCACGCAGGTGCGTGCTCACACCAATGCCACTGAGCATGTGACTGATCAGGCCAGCAAAAATGTCTTCGCTGAACATGGCAACGTGTTTCACAGCGAAAGATAGCCAAAAAGGATTGTGGGAGCGAACACCACATAAGTAGAAAGGCAGGACCTCAACATCCACTGCCTCTACCATCTGAAAAAACTCCAGCGTCGTACGCCAAGCAAGGGCCAGTACCACCCAAAATGGGCAAAGGCTGGTAGAAAAATAAAACACCACTGATGGCAGATGACATGATCATCTCCAGAACTCCAATTCGTGCCGTCCAAAAAATATGCTCCCGAACCTTGGCCAAAGAATGCTGAAGAGCGCGAGACAATGTTAGAGAATGATTGACGAGGGTGGAGTGACTGCAAATGCGGGATCCGCTGGCTGAACGTGCTCTTTGTACGACACAGCTAGTCTGCAACCTCTTATATTGGCTGGCACAAATTGTGCTCACTTTGCATATGGAAGCAACCTGTGCGCATCGGTACCAAGCCAATGGTCTCGCTGGGCTAGGCATTGCTGAGGTATTGCTTGGGCTGTCGATTGGAGCGCAATCCAGATCTCGCCCTCGCCGTCACTACTGTTACGTTCTGGAGTGAAGAGCCAGCCTCTTGGAATCGAGCCCTTTATGCCTGGCAGCGTGATGGCCGAGGTAAGTGCTGCGATGAACAGGTAGAGAATCGAGGACACAGTTTTCTAGATATTCTCAGCCTTAAAGGCGCCCTTCCAATCGCTTCTGTACAGGGCGCCCGCCTGCGCATGTCGAGCCTCAGCCCACCCGCCGTCTTGCCCGTGAACTCCAAGGGTCCAAAGTCCTTTTTGGCTGTGGGTGATGCAGCCCGACTCATGGGAATTATTGCGTCCGCCTCTGTCCTGGCTCTGTCCTTGAGCCCCTATAAGGCTGCAAGCGCCGCATTCTCACGCACATCTGCTGGAAAAATGCGAAAACCTGGTGTATCTGGAGCATTTGTGAACATACTGCTGCCAAGTTTCGTCGTAAGCACTGTAGCCCAAAAAAACTTTGTGAAGCCTCCAACGCAGGGATCGGGCTCCTTGCCTCAGGCAAGCGCAACACAGGGCAACGCCTGCATGCTCCATCTCCCAGGACCCCAACTTTCCCTTGGGATGTCGGCTCCCAAGTGCCGCATCAC